GCCTCCATCTGATGAACAGTTAAAGCTCACCCAGTTGATTTTGCACTAAATCTGTTGAGCAGTGCTGAAGCTGTGAGGATACAGTTGCTGCTGGTCACGTTTTAAGATGCGACCTTAAAGTATGCTTTATACAGACAGACCCTCAGTCTGCCTTCCAAGCTGAAGAGATTCAGGACCACCCCCGTACAGAAGCACTTGGGGATGCTTTAATCCATCCCCAAACTCAAGCTATTGCAATCTGCCACACAGTCAGGAAATCTGGAGAGTCAATGAGGCAGGTAGTACGTTTGATCACAGAATCACAGTATCACAGCATGGTAGGGGTTGGAAGGGACCTCTGGAGATCATCTAGTCCAACCCCCCTTCTAAAGCAGGTTCATCTAGAGCAGGTTGCACAGGACTGCATCCAGGCATCTCAAATGAGCAGGAGGTTAAGAGGGCAGATAATGGGGAGCAGTCTTCCTGGGCAAGTACCATCATTTTCACCGAGAATCTAGAAGCTGCACAATAGGAGGGGGACAAGAAAAAACGCTGAACTGATAAGATTGCCAGTTATGAGAGGAATGTGGTTTAGCTGAAGGATAGTGTGAAAAAATTACCAAAAAAAGTACCAAAGCATTTTTATCAAGCACATTCAGAATGAAAGGAGCTGGTTTGGAGAAAGGAGCTGTGCTCACAGCCTTGGAGCAAACTCAAATATTTCTTTCCCATGCAAAGGACTACAGGGGGGACACAGAAGGACAGAAAGCACAGATGGCCCTTAGTGCCCCACACAAAGTACGAGGACAGATGAGTCTATGTGCACTCTGCAGGCACTAACAGATAAATCACAGCTGGTGTTGAGTGTCTGTATCACCATCTCCACAGTGGAGTCTACATATAGACAATTCATGCTTAAGGATCTCCCTGCTCTGAGAGTGTTAGCTCAAAACCTCCATCTTATCCTGGCTACACCTCAGATTTACTGTGTTGCTCAAGGGGAGGGCAGCAGCTCAAGCAAAACCAGTCTGCTGACCTACTGTGGGTCACTTTGAGGTAGAGAGGGGAGAGGATCCAGATATGAGGAGGACGGATGCATTTAGACCTGGTGGGACCTGGGTCTCCTTCGGGGCCAGAACTCTGTGTCAGGGAAGATTAACACGAATTTGGAGAAATTTAAAGCATACCTGTATCCATAACCAGAGTTAAACAGAGAGCTATCTCTGCCCAAGACGTCTGGGAACAAAGTAATCACAGCTAATTGACTACTCAAACTTATTCTTAGTTTATATGGTAGATATTAATGGTGCACTGAATACAAAGGAAGGTACTACAGAATTCAGTCAGCTGGTGCAGTCTACAGCTATCCTGCATGCTGAACATGTAACACACCTAACATGATGAAATACTAGTACTGGAAAAGTGACGGGCAAAACATGAAACATTTTTCCCTGTCCTTAGTGCCAGTATCCTAATAAAAAAGCAAGCCAATGGTCAGAGGATTTGCTCAAAGGAAACATAATTAAGGTGAGCTTAATGCTGGAAACTGGACTGTAGGACACACACACTGCACAGAGAAGTAAGAACCCTGAAAATCCTTTTGTTGCATCTTCTAGACAAGTACAAATAAAGTATTTTAAAGAATAATTTGGTGAATGTTTCCCGGTTCTCATCAGTAACAGAGTTCTCAAAATCTAGAGTTCTTGGGCCACTCTCCTTGCAGTGAGTGGGAGAAATACATTTCTAAGGGAATATCTGAGAATCTTTTTCCTAAAGCACCATCAGGGATATAAATTTTCAAAGCCTAAAGCAATTTCTTGCCCACAGCTGTTTAGAAGGTGCATATAAAAATGCAAAGGGATCTCAACAATATCAGTGTGAGTTAAGTGTGAAAAAACTCTCTACAGAACGATGAAAAATGTAGAAGAAAAGATCTCTGATACACTGGCCTCTCCTCATTCCTTCCACGCCCCCAGCTATTTCTGCAGGCAAAAGCAAGACAATGAGCTAAAAAGCACAGCAGCCTAAAATTACCCAAGCTACGTGTAAAACATGATTTTTAATTTTTAAGTATAAAAAGCTTCTTAATGATCACACCAAACATACATTACTCCTCCACTTTTAAATTAAAAATTTACCAATTACTCCTCTTGAAGAAAACAACTGCTGTCTTCTCAAACTATTTAAAACCCTGAGCAGATGTAGAGCTTGCATCATTGCAACCACACAGAGAAATACTTCCACTGTGTAAGACGAAAAATATAGTCTTTGTAGCTGAATTCTAAGAAAAAAAAATTAAATCTCCTGATGTCATGCCAATTCATGGTCTGCGGTGCTGGATTACTTTCTAAACCCAGCCATCAGAAGCACCCAGTTCAATGAGTGGTGCATGAATGGAAAGAGGCACAAAGTTTTCACTATTTAATTGATACCAGGTTAAGTGCAAGATTCAGTTGAATGCCATTAAATGTGGTGGCAGAGCTTAATAGATGTTGGCTCCGTCTATTTTAAGATCCAGGATTCCCGTCTCAGAGGTCTGGAGACACATGATGGGTACAGCCCAAATCCGCTCTGGACAGAGACTCCAGTCTGCCTTGTCCTCCTCCAAACCCCTGGTTTTCAAGCAAAGGGAACTTTCCATGCAGACCCAGAGTCACAGAGATCTTCCAAGAGTCCCCCAGGTGACTGAGCATGCTGCAAAGTACCTTTCCCCTCAGTACACCATAGGTACTGAGTACCCAACGTCAGTGAGAGTCAGCTCTTACCATGTGGGATGTTTTGACATCAAATTTGGAAAAAAATGCTTATCAGAAAGGTGGACTTCGGGTTCAGATACACATTTGGAGTTCGTACTCAAGTGCTTAATTTCTTCACTTAAAAAATAAACTTATGAGAACTACACATTCAACAATACCCCAAAACAACTGCCAAATAGACTGTGCAAAGTCCACCCTCCACCACCTAAAAGAGGTCACAGGTTAATGAGTAAAATATTTCTTGATCTTTTAAATTGGAAGACCTGCTGCCTAAACTATCTTTTGCCCAGTTGTTAGCAGATGATGCATATCTGTCTTGGTCTGTTTGTCAGTTTGTCATTGCCCTAAATGATGAACTTTTCTAAAATTAAAAAGATGCTCTCTCTCTCTGGCTTTAATTTCAGAAGACAAGAACGTATCTAGCAGTAGGAAGCGTTACTGGGAAGTTATTATTGTAACTGGCTGTCTACATAATTTTTACTTTCTCTTCCTCAAGGGAATGTCTGCTAGACTAAATAAAATTTCAGATACCTCTATTGTTTGGGCTATGAAGTGGATACCGTCAGCTGATATATGGGAATGGAATATAAGATATTAAAGTGCTTTCTGGGGTCTTCCAGGATAAGTATTTTGTGTCAGTTAAAAAATAAGGATGAGAATTTTGGTAAGATATAACAGTAAGGAAAACAGTTTCTTGGTATTTGTTACAGGTAAGGGGAAATGGAGAATGGAGGAAAGCGATGCAACAGTTCTTTTCATATTGTAAAGGTAAAGAAGGAATCTGCACAGCTAAAAATCAACCCTAAATGTGACCTCTTCTTTGTAGCAGTTTAATAACCAATGGATTTTTTTCCCTCCCCACTGCTTTTCGCTTCTTATTTCTAGTTTTCTATATTTGCATTTTATTCAGTTTGGGCAACAAATTAGATTCATCAATGCCCCTTTATGTTCAGAGACATCTGGAAAAGTCTACAGTTGTTAAAGATATAATGACTGACACAAAAATCACACTGGGATGCGTCATAATAATTTACATTTTCATCTCAGGTAATATCTTATTGCTTTCTTTGAGAAATCTTTCCAACAATGGTGAACTACCATGGCTTTATATCTCATTCTCCAAAATTCTGCAATAGTTTAACATTAAAGGTTACAGCAAATTGCCTGGAGTTTCGTTCCCCCACTACCTCTTTGCTAAATTGCATCCACATACGGTTGGCTGTCTCCTTCCACTATAGCCGGGCAATGCACTGGGAAGATAATTCATCTTTTCTACCTTCCCATGCAGAATCACTCACTGCAATGTCACTTCCAAGCATGAAACTGGTAGCTAGACAGACCATGAAATGTTATCACTTGCCAATAGCAAGGGAATGAGCTCCAGACTATGCAGTGCTGTTGTGATACTTCAGCCCTGGATGTTTCGGCTGTGGATATGAAGTGATTCAATTAAGGCATACAGCTGCACCCTGTATTCCTGTTTCACAGCCTCTGTACACTACTGTCCTATCCACTCTGCTTTGCATTAGCACAACATGATAACATATTTTAAAATGTTTCTTTACCAAAGATAAATTAAATTCTTTATCAAAGAAACAGACATCTCATACCTGTCAATACCTTAATTACAAAAAAATGCATGAGGAGCAAGATGATATCAAATGAATGCTAAGGATAGGACTTCTGCTAAAGTTCACTTAATCTGCACATGAAGCAACAAATGAATAACTTTGACAATGCCCATAAATAAACTGAAGTTCGGGAAAATTCTAGGCCCTTTTCGTCTCACCCTGCAAAGAGTCAAGCAAGTTTGCTCGTGTCAGCACGAATCATGGTGATGGGCAGGGGACAGGCAGCAGAAACCACTTGGTGTGACGGTAACATAGAAAGCACGTTGTAGGTACTCAGGATCAGACTACAGCTCTGTGCAGTCAGCAGGATGCCAGCCCTCTGCTTCAGGGACTTGCAGAGCTGACGACACTGATACAGCACTGGGTGACCAACTGGCAGGAACTAGCAGAGCACAGAGTGACACAAAAGACAAAACTATGGAGAAGAAAGATATTAGAAGAGCCTCTGAGTTAAGTAGAGGATTTGTGTTAAACTGTCAGCTCATGTAATTATATGAATAGTTTCTTTTCAAACCACAACATTAATATTTTCCCCTTGTGTTCCTGCTGCAGTTCCTGCAGTATTATTCCTCTAGCCCCAAACAAGCGTTTGATTAAAGAAGGTACCCAAGCAAAAAATGGCAGACTGTCTCACCTATGACAGATACACATCCCAGTGGAACGACGAGGGTAATGGGGGCAAATCCGTAGGCTGTGAAATTGCCCACCTCTCCAAGCCCCAGGAGGGTAATCCCACACCACCATAGCTTGCTCGTGTAGTAGGGCTTCAGTTCTGTTTGGCAAGCCAGTCGGAGATGAGCACATTTCTAAAAAAATAATTATTAGGAACAGGCATGAAAAGAAAGACTTCCATTGTGTTCTTATGTCTGACAAAAGTGGAATAATTAAGGGGGCTGTCAACTTCAGATTCCAGGTGCCTCAAGGTTTTCTTTTTAATCATGACCTCCAGCTTGTTGTTACAGGCATACTGCTTTGTGTTAGCTCGGTGCTGCTTCAGATGTATGCTTTCTTAGCTGTGGTGGAAATGACTGAAAAATTAGACCTCTGAATAAACCTGAAAAATATTAAGTGAATACAAGCTAGTGTTTCCTAGCTATCACTGCACACCTCTGCTCTTCTCTCAAAGCAAAGCTTGGCAGTTATGCTGTGAATCTGGAAACACTCAAAGGCAGGAGATGGGGCAGAATCAGAACTGTGACAACAAACTGGGAGAAGGGAACCAGACAACATGGTGTCCCTGCTCCATCATATATATCCTCTCCAGAAATACAACTTCAAAATGAAAAAGGCAGCACTTAATCGTATCTGCTGTAGGACGGACTCTAAATTAATTAGGTGGAATTTAGGATTTGGCTACAATCTCCTGTTTGACCTTAGAAGAAGATCTCAGGTAAAGCATTATTTTCAGAAGGAAAACTAGATATACCTGTATCAACAAGTGTAATATATACTCAAGTAATACTTCAGCAATGTTTCTTATTACATGGATAAGGTATCACTGACACATGTAATTGTTTTCTCTCTGGCTGAACAGCAAGAAACTGTATATAACAAGGTAATTTGACTTTGATCACACTGGTCTTCTGAAACAGAATCTAGGCAGTCTCCATCAGGATGGTGTCATGATTGGGAAGGATGCAAAGTTTACCACATTAGTTCTGTAGAATGTTGTTTACTTTCTCAGATACTTCACCAGCCTCTCTGCACATGTGTCAAAAAATGTTGAAAACCAAAGATACAGTTATTGTAGTATCAACGGTGCTAAAATACATTTTTTTCTCCATCACTTGATATTTGATTTTGGAAGTGTACCTGCAGAGCCCCAGGGAAGTTGTAAATTATTTTTCTTATATTCCCATTCTACTCTGTAGGCTATGCTACAGAATATGGGCCAAACAGTAATGTCTGTGATACCCCATAGTCTCTCAATCATTCATCTTATTAAGAGAATGCAGCACATTATTGCAGCTTCATGCTGTTGAACTTGTTCAGGGGACGAAATCCTAGGAAGAAGTTTAGCCCACCAAAGAGAAAAGGAGCGTAAGAAAATCAAACTTCCCTCAGCCACAGACCAGCGATTCACAGTAACATCCAGGATTTTGCATGTTCCATTTTATAAACAAACAAACAAACAAAAGCCCAATGACTATTCAAATGAAATGAATATTAAATAATATTCAAATCAAGAATCCAAGCTTCTGCTGAAAACCAAATAGGACAAGTTCTTAACCAAATGCTGAGCTCTAGTTTCTCCACAGATTCTTGTAGAAATAACTCTTGAGGGCACAGTGTGATTGAAAAGATGTGTGATGAACACAGGACGGTGAGCTCAGTGAGTCTCCTACAGCCTTCCTTCTCCAGGCATCTGCCTTCTTTGCATGGCAATGTGTGTGGATGAGCGATTTATAATCCAGCTGAAATAAATTGCAAATCGTGGGCTGTTCTTTAGCTGACAACCAGCTAGAGGGAGGAGAGGGAGGATAACTGACTGCATGGTGGGAAAGGAAGTGAGAACAATAAAGTTTAGCCTGTCCATTTAATATGAGTATGAAAATAAATGTTGAGATCTAGGAAAAGTAATTTTTCATATTTATAAGATTTTATTACTAGATGGAGAAAAACTTATTTTAAAGTATAAATAAAAATTTCAGTGGAAACTCTCTGTCAAATGACAATGCAGAGCTGTTGGGTTTTTCTAAACAGCATTTTAAAAGCTGGAAGATAGTTCAAATCCAGTAAATGCTGTTAATGACCACAAGACAATAGAATTCTGTCTGCATGTCCCAGTACATCCCCTGGCAAAGCATTCACTTTGGCACTCAGGGCCCTCAGCAGCCAAAAGATATGAAGTCTGAACAACCTCATTATTATGGGCTAGGTTGAATTTCCACTTCACCAACAAGAGTTTTTCCATTGAAACAGAGCCTGTCCTAGTACTGTCGCCATCAGCAGGCTGGAACTCATGCTGGAGAAGCACCAGTCATCTCAACCTGCCTGCCATCTCTGAATAAACACATTTCTTTCTATGGGATTCCCCAACTAGAGATACTTAAAATAGACGGGAATAACTGAAGAACCTTCCAGCATTAATGAAACGGGTTATTGTGAATAGAAGATTTCATATTCCACAGCTTTCCTTTTCATCCTTTACAGAAAAAGCAAGAAGTGGCTTTATATAAGACACGTAAAACTCACAAAATACAAGCTAGCAAAAATACTTTTTCTGGACAACTTACACAACAATGTCTTCTGTGCTTTAAAAACTTTTGTTAAAAGACCTAAAAATACCATGAAGTCTACAAGATACAGTTTATAACAAATTATATAAATTTCTACTGATAATGTATTTTAATTATTAATACAGAAAGGATTTTATAAATCTCACCCTATGACCCTTTGCAATAGTTGTAAGTTCAGCACCTCCCATTGCTTTTATGATTTAAAATCATATTTACACAGAATATTTCATCCTAATTGCAGAAGAAAAACTAAATTGGTTGAAGTTGGTTTGGGGCTCAATATTGCGAAAAACTTTATGTCTTTATGTATTTAATTACATTAAACATTTCATTAAGCAGTGCCTAAGACCTTCTGGTCAATTCCGTTTTAGTTTTGAACACTCTGAGACAGGTTCATGTGATGACCAGTGGGATCACATGCAGGTCACAGCTGGTATTTCCTTATGGCACGTTACAAGGAGGAGGAGGAGTTACAAGTTTTTATTCTGTTCCCATATGAGAATTACAGCACAGAACATGTTGAGAGCTGTCATACTGCCAAAAACTACAGCAGGGCACTCTTAAACTACAGTTAAAGAGAGGGAATGTTTATGAAATGCAACAAAATTTATATTTTGAACTTCACCATAAAAGCAAATTGTAACATAAGTTACTTGCTAATTATAAACAATTCTGAATAAAGAGAAATTATTTCATACCTGTATATTCAAAGAGACACTAATCAGAAAATTTGAAGCAGCAGCAAGCAAAACTCCGAAGAGCTGAGTCTGCAAGATCACAAAACAAAGAAATGCAAAAATACTTATTAGTTTAAGAAGAGCAATATGACGGTGGTTTTCTGATAGCACATTGTAACTCAATCAAAACGAAATTATTGCAGTTTTCAGTCACTGATTTTATGCAGTGCTGAGTAAACTGATAAAAATTATCTCTGCACATTTGACTAGAGTTTAAGCAGTAAACAACTGGGAATGGAAAGGGCATCCCAGTGCAGAAGGTGGTTTTGCTGTCCTTCAGTAGACTGTCTTAAATCTCATGAAAGAAAAAACTAGACAGGTCTCAGTTGAACACTACACACAGGTATTCTTCTTTTCCAAAAAAAAGGACCTGTTCTGTTACATAATCCAGAAGGAAAATCAACAGCGATCAAACCATTCATATTGGACACAATTATCTTGCATGTTAACATATCCACTATTTGACAGGGCAGCCAGGAACATAGGTCTCCTGAGAGTTTCTTTAATGTATCGTGCTATTTCATCAAATTCTTTTCTAATCAGCCTGTCTAATTTTCAGTAAGATTTGTGAACTTTGAATGATGCTGAGAAATTAAAAAACATTCAAGCAGGATTCCTTATTTTGGAAAGCAGCCATTTAAAGATGCTGTTTCAGCAAGCTTCAAATTACAGGTATATAGTAGAGCTTCCCGTCTACTTTCAAAACGCTGTAACACTTTGTACATTGTCATAAGTGTATCCAAGACCCATTCAAGGTCTGAATAGTGCTGTGAGGAGCTCCACTAGATTATAGAGAAGACAAACATACTATCTGCGTTTTTATAAACCAGGTCATGATAACATAACCCAGCATAACTGTTGCTTGCAAGCTGTAAAGCAGCATACAACTCAGGGCTCACAACCTCAGCTTTCATGACTCTTCTCCAAGAAGGTTCCTGGGCACCTATTAACAGGCAGTGACTACCAGCCAGAGGCTGTTGACCCTCAACATTTATAAAGAGCAGTATGTGGTCCAGCAAGCTCTTGGAGAGGAGGATTATTGTTGTGGCTAGATAATTCCCAGACAAGGAAAGAGCATCCCCAACTGTGAAGAAAGAACAACCTTATTAGAAATGGATGGTAATATTCTTATTTAAGAGACACAGCTGAATCCATCTATCTCCAGCCCATGCATTTCTGTAGTGGCTTAGACTCAGAAGGAGAAGCAGACAAGAGAACTGCTCTGGGTAAAATGCTTGGCCAGCTGCCAGGTGTCAGCAAGACATGACTGATGGGTACAAGGGGTTGCAGAGAGGGGAATGCAGGAGGTGAGACAGCTCCCTTTGCTCACACACCCTCTGTGCCGAGTATTACAGCACCAGTGCCACTGCTTGTGTACAAGAAGTGTTCAATGAGAAGCATTACTCAAGAGTTTTGCCCATACCCTCTGGTGCCTGATCACTAGAGGTCCTTTCCACCTTGCATTCTCTCCCTGCACCTCAGTATTCTCCAGGGGATGCTCCAGCAGCCTGTCCTGGTCTCTCACACATGGTACATTTTCCATGCCCTGGGAACACCCCTCACTGGGAGCAGTGGGGAGTGTATGATAAGACACATTGATGCTGTAGCATCAAATCCTGAGCATTCATCTTGAGTAAAGTTTGACGACTTCACAGGTGCATTACTGCATTCCCCTCATCATCCTGCACACACAGCAGCCTCAATAAAATAGCAGTTAAATCAAAATTGTTTTCTTGCTCCCAAAGACTTTTTAAATGGTAACTTGCTCACTTGTGAGGGGGTGGAGAAGTGGCTTTGTCAGGCTTGTCATGGAGGGTTTAAGAAAAAGCAGACAGCAGGGAATAGAAAACAGAACCTGCCACCTCATTTACCCCATCATTTTATTGTTTTCACATCAGTAATTGTAATGCATTCACAGTACTCCCGGTAGAGCATCTAGTCTTCTGCAGCTCTTTTTGTTCCAGCATCCAATCCTACCCTTAAGGCTGTATCTCTGGGTAATCCCTTGCAGCTCCTTACTCCCAGCTTTCAGCTGATGGTCACAGATACTGTGTGGGACTCAGGAGGCAACCCGCACCCCAGGGAGGAAACATGGTTGGTCTCAAACCAGCCCAAAGAAGGATGTCCATCCAACTCTGAAGGTAAAACTTTCATGCAGCTGGTGGGCAGAGAATGAGGCTGTGTTCTGTCTGTCATCTAAAAAAAATTGCAAAATCAGATCCATGTGTGGTTACTGATGATGACCGGAGTACCTGTCTCCAGAGACTGTGAATTGAATGCCCCTTTAATAGCTTTACACACTGCATGGACAGGGACTCCAGCAGGAAGTTTTCCAATGCCCTGCATCACTGGTGTGCTCTCCAGAATAGTGACTGCTTTTGTACCACAGTGGTTGCTTCATCAGGTACCTGTAAGCTTGGCTCAGATATCCTTGTAGGGCATATAAGACTTCTAACATGACCACCCTGTGTCTGAATAGGAACCATCTCCCAAAAGTCAATCCTCTTCTTACAGGTTCAAGAAACTTCCAGGAAAAGAAAACAGGTCAAAAACCTGGGTCTTCTCCTCATTTCCTGGGGAATACTGAGACATGTGTGACCATTGTCACAGTACTTCCCTGTGAAATATCGAGGTCACTATTTCTCTCAGCTGAGGCTGGGCCAGAACATGGGCCTGTGGGTGGGCCTGGCTGTCTTGGTTTGAAAAAGACAGG